CAAGGTGGTGTTGAAGGGACCGGAATAAATGAAAATCTGTCGGTGCTAAAGCATAACACATAGAAAAACTTAAGACGTAAGACTTACCCCGCAAACACAATAGAGTAGTAGCCTTAAAGAACTGACCAATCGTAGTCGATTATTTTTCTCACATTTGACTGTGATTGATCATCTTCTTAAGGTTTAAGGCTTACTACTCTATTGTGTTTGCGGGGTCAGGACCATGGTACACAAAAAAAATTGAAAGAACAAAACGTAAGCAAATTGTCCAATCACAACAGAGTCGGTAAGGCCATAACGTAAGCAGTAGCTAATCCAACATGTTGATTTCTTTACTGTTTACGTCTTACTGCCTTAAGTTTTTTTGTGTACCATGGTCCTGACCCCGCAAACACAATAGAGTAGTAACGTACTATAGTCCTTAGAGTAACTTTTACCAAACTGCGATTAACATAAGGGAGCCGGGTGGTCAAAAAATCAACGAGTTTTTGTGAATTTTTTTAGGGGAAAAACGGTTATAACTATCAATTTTAGGTGGACCTATATATAGTTTTAAAGGATCGGAAAAAACCCAATTTTTCCGCGGATTTTTTCGATTTTTTTCCCAAGGGTAGAAAAATTCACGCGTGCTCGTAAAACCTACCACGTTTGCTTCTTGATTCTTTCCGTAAAGAAAATAACTGCGTATAGGGTACATAGCGGGATAAGTTAAGGGGTTACGCTACCTTGGAGGTAATCCGAATTTTTTTTTGCCTTAAATGATAGTTTATAGTCTTAAAAATAAAGTTAATAATTAAAATTAAAAATTCATGTTTTTTTATCAAGTTTCGAGCCAGTTTAGTGAAGCGTGTCTGTAGTGCCGACGAGCGGTTCGGAGCAATTTAGAATATCTGAACTTGTAAGATATTAAAAAGAATTAGGTCGATGACGCTCGAAAATCATCCAAAACGAGCAGAAAAGAAAACGATGAAACAAACATTGATGTAGAAGGATAGTTGTATGGCCCAGGCATTGCAAGCTAAAGGTAAATTTGATATTTTGCTACTAAACACACGAAATATCGCAAAGCAAAACTTCAAACGCGTTTATCTCGAAACTACATTTTCAAAGTTGGCTTTGCGCGGATCTCAGAAACTGTTCATCCGATTTACTTGAAATTTACACAGAATCGTGTTTTTGGTATAATCTAAAGAAATACATACGGATTTTGTGATATGTTAAAAACTTTTTTTTTTATTAACATTTTTTTAACGAAATTTTTTAACGAAATTATCCCTTTATAAAGAAAAGTTCTTTTTTTTACCATTATTTTTCCTATTAAATTGCCAAAAAATTATTATTGTTTTTAAAAATTTATTATTTTTTTTAGGTTTACCGTATGGAGAAAATGATTGTAATTAATGTGTAAAAAGCGTAAATCACTGCGTTGAGTCGTTCCCTCTCTACAATGTCAGCAAATTTGAAAGAACACGTTTCAAGAAAAATGCGTTTAAAGTTTTAAGTTAAAACATTTCTGTTTTTTAGTACTTACAATAAATATTTTATTCGGCCATTTTTGGATCATAAAACGGTTCATCCTCTTCATGAAACTTTATGAAATGTTTCTTCGTTTGAAGAAGTAACAGCCATACGACACGCCGCGGCGGATCGAAACTCAAACCTAATTTTTACCTACTCAGATAACGATTCGTGCGAGTTCATGTTGCCCTCACGCGTGCGTATCATGCCGTGCGCACACCGTGCTATTATCATGCTGCCCGCACGACCATGATATAAAGTAGTGATGCCGATTCTTAAATCGATGCATCGAGAATCGATTCTTTTTGCTCTTGAAAAATCGATTTTAATTCGATTTTTTATTTCTCGATTCTTTCGGAATCGATCCAATTTTTCAGAGAATCGTATCGACGATTCTCAATTTTTACAAATTGTTAATTTCGAAAGGAAGGGCGCACGAAGCTATTGTACTCTGCCAATCACAGCACCTAGTTTTTGCTACTCAAAGACATAGGGCGAGTTCAAGACGGCAAAGCGGCTAGGCGTGCTTACCGAGCGATTGAATATGATTGGTTGGATCTATAAGTAACAACCAATTATGTTCATTTGCTTGGCGAGCAGGTTAGCCGCTTTGTCAACTTGAACGCGCCCAATGTGTTGTTACTGCTCTAGCGCAATGGACCAATCACAATAAGACTGATTTAATATGTGATTGGTCTGTTATTGGTCGGCAGTCAGAGTTGGCAATCGGTAATTTGCAGAGTCGGTAATCTGATACGGACTTAAGTAACATCATTAGGCGCATTCAGTACTACAACCGCTTTACTAAGCGCTCGGTGAGCTCTTGCATCTGATTGGCATATTCCGTTAAATCTAAAAATATCACCATCGTCGTTTACTTAACCAGCCCTAGTAACTGAGCTTGGTGAAAGTGGCCCTAAAACCCGTATCAGATTGAATCAGTCTTATTGTGATTGGTCCATTATTGGTCGGCAGTCAGAGTTGGCAGTCGGGTCGGCTTGCAGAGTCGGTAGTCTGATACGGGCTTAAAGCCTGATTTATAATGGCCGTAACCGTTAAAGCCTGCGGCACACGATGCTTGTTTTCCTGCTGGATTCCTAGCTGGATTGGAATCTTGTCATTGTATTGGCTACTATGCTGACACTGTCAGTACCGCAGTCAATACGATGGCAAGATTCTAAAGCCCATGGCACATACAAAAACGTAAGGCCGTAATACGTAAGCAGTAAAGAAATCGTAAGATTGGATTCGCTGCTGGCCTTACGGTCTCTATCGTGATTGGCCAATTCGCTTACTGATTATGCTTACGGCCTTACGTTTTTGTATGTGCCATGGGCTTAATCCAGCTAGGAATCCAGCAGGAAAACAAGCATCGTGTGCCGCAGGCTTAACTTATGCCGGTGCCGGTAAAGTTCAACCATAGGATTTCAATGCTTTCGTTCATACTAACTTGCCGTATTAGTAAGAATTTGAAAGTCTTTTTTTTTTTAAATAATTGGTTGCTGGGAAAAGAATCGAGAAAATCGATTATTCGGAATCGATCCTTTTTTATCCGATTAATCGATTGTTAAAATCAAACTTAAAAGAATTGATCGATTCCGAAAATCGATCTTTTTTTTTAAGAATCGGCATCACTAATATAAAGACAAGAGTATGCTCATCCGGTGATAGACCACTGTGCATGCAACAAGCATACGTCACATTCGGCCAGCCTCGGCTATATCCGGAGCAGTTCGTGTCCGCAGTCCGTGAAATATGGTCATCATACGCTCGACACTGGGTGCCTTCCAACAAGCGACTCAGTGGCTACGTTTACACCGTGCATTTAGGCCGCGGCCTATCCAATAGACATCCTTTATCCTGTATATTAAACAAAGACACCTATCGTTTAGGTCGCGGACTAAGCGCACGGTGTAAACGTAGTCATTACAACACAATAGGTCTGTTCTTTTTAGTTAAAATTTTTGCACGGTTAAAAAACGATAAAAAATCAAATTAAAATATTTCACGTCCTGATTTCTAGATGAAACGGCGCCAATGTGGGCCGCTGACGCGGGGCTCTTTTCGCCTGACTCGGCGTCAGGTGGTTAGGAGTGGAGTAGTCGCGATACTTGACCGAGCGGAAACCAAAAGGGGAAAGAATGACGAATACTGTTGCTTTAAACACGAAAAATGTGCGACTTTATTAGTGAAAATATACAAAAAGAAAAAAAAAGAGATAAAATAAGTAGGATTCCTAAGCGTGGTTAGGACCGCTGCTGAAGTGAAGGTACTACGCGGATAACGGAGGTCACCGCTTCGACCTTTATGATCTGCGGGAGAGCGCAGCAGACCGAGCGGCTAAGGGGGATCCCGGTGATAGGCGGGGACCGGGTGATACTCCGGGGAGACGTTCTGGATCCAGGTCGTAGAGTACTCGGGGATCGAACTCGACGGTCCTGTTATACTCCCGGACGAGTTCGCGCAAGGCCCGCTCACGTCCGGCCCGCCAAACGCGACCCATCGTCCGCTCCTGAGAACATTTTCTTATACTTTATGAACGAAGTTCATAAGTCGGGAAGGAGTGCACGACAACGCCGATTCGGGCTGCGGTACAATTTCCGCGACCCCCTATACTATCCGCATGGTGCAGTTCAGGGAAAAGGCAGATAGAAGCTAGAGCACCCTGGTCCCTGCTCCTTTGTGGAACGCAGTTATGACGGACAGGATGAGCGACGGGGGCCAAGGACCGAATGAGGGTTGAGCAGCGGGGCGCTCTATAGGAGCGCTTGTACCCCGCTCGGAAGGCGGCCGTGTGCTCGTGGTCGAACTCGCGGCGACCGAGGCAGGAAGGCTCGGAGACACTGAAGAGCGTTCACATGTCGGCAAGAGTAGGTGAATTCGTGTAGACAAGAGGGCCCGCACTGAGATGCAGGCCTCGCGGTGTACGTGGAGGCGGCGTCGCTCGAGGCGTGAAGAGGAAATTGGGAAGCACCATATAATAATATTCCTGAACTAACGCGTTGCATTCCCACGCATCAAACACTGATCGGACGCCACAGACGAAACACTGCACAATTAGGCACTTCGATATGGAAAGAAAGATGAAATGATCGAACAAAAATCCAATTGAGATACACACTTTAGCTTTAATATAATTTCCACTTAAACTTGAACGACTTTACACTGAAGATAATACAAAAGAAGAAATATTTGGTCTCTACGGTTTATACGATTAAAATTATAAAGAGAACTGAAATCGATCGGCCATGCTACTGACTCTATCCTGGAGATAATCGCAAGTTATTCGCATTTGAGAGAAAAACAGATTTTCTCCACGAAAGAAAAGAATCATAGAGTCATCCGGACGTAACACTGTGATATTACTGTGATATTACGTATTATGTGGGTTATTACGGTAGCATCTGTCAATATGTACGTGATGTACCAAATGCAGTCACAAATGACGTATATTACGCATTCGTATATGAAAGACAATTTACTTTCATTGAGTATCTTTATTAACAGAATATCGTATAACAATTATGTTGCGTGTAACATTGTATATCTAACCAGATATATCGCTCCTTTTGCTCTGTAAGAGTCAATTTCTTGTCGTAAGATAAAATCATAAATAATTTTCTTTATACAAGTGCAATATTAGAAATACAGCAATATCGTCAAAATGGCATATTCAAGGAGAGAAAATTGCGAATTATAAATTCGCTACTTATAAATAGCGAATTATCTCAATGGCAGCTTTGTATAATTCTTCATATTTTATACATAAAAATTGAAATATAAAAATGCATTGGACCTTTCCTATCTTAGAAAAAAAAAATGGTCGATATTTGATTTCGTGCTATTACTTAATGGTGTCATAATATCCGGTCTATGTGACTCTATCTGTAACTAGGCAACTGTCACAATGCGAAACATGACAGAAATGATAATTTTGCATTGGAATATTCCATCGCAAGTTTTGGATATTGCCCCTTATGACTTGACATAATCGTTATTCGTAAATATCTTTTAAATGATAAATCTAAGTCACCTCTCGCGGTAAAAATTGACATTATCTTTATCGCACATTAATACAATACTTGCTGCATACATACAATCTAGTAAATATTTAAAAAGCGAGGCCAGCTTCCGAATAAGTAGTAAATATTTTTTCAATCGAATTGGCATATGCCGCTGTTCTCAAATCGAGTCCGAGATTGAATTTCATGGCAGTCTTCATAATAGCCTATATTACAACAAAAAATATTTAGAATTGAGTTGAATTTTATACTTTGTCTAACTTATATTAAAATCTAATTAATTACCCTAGCAGATCTCTCCATTGTGTAGTCTAGACCAGAGTGGACAATATCTTTTTCAGAAGCGCCAGATATACGTTTTTGGAAGGCTTCGGATGGTGTAACGGGAATACGGCCACCAACACGACCAAACCTACGCTCTAAAGATTCTTGCACCGATTCTGCAAAATAAATATAAATTTATAAATCATATTTTCAAAAGTTACTCTCTTACACATCAAACTTAATTACAATTTTTATTTTTTATTAGAATTCCTCTAATTAAATTGAATTCGGTGACTGGCACAATGCTTTTGCCTAGGATGATTAACCAATTTCATCCACTGACTCTACTTTTTCTCGTCACCGAATGAAGAACCAGTATTGATTTTACAAAAATTTCTAAATATTTGTCTTTACATAAAAATTTTTCGACGTGTAATTTCTTTTTTCACTATAGATATATTTAAAAAATTCTGAGCTTTAGATTTCATATAACCAAAACCGCAATTTAAATTTTATTTATTTTCCCGCCTTTTTGCGGTTTTGAAGCGTCGAAAGAATTTTTTGCTTATCTAATATCTTCTATTTTAACTTACATTTATGTTAGCGTCCCAATAGATGTGGCTTTTTGCTCTTAATTTTGTTTCTATCTAATTATTTCTGTTTATAATGTATGTGTTTTTTGCTATTTAATGTCTACAGCTGAAGAAAATTAACAATAAGTAAAGTTCAAAATGTTCCTGATTTTTATTATTCGTGTTAAATAAAGTCTATTAATTATGTTCATTAATATGAACCTATTCATGCTCGTTAATATGAACTTTTCATTATTATTTTGATTAATTAAGTTTGTCTAACGTACCTAAGAGATGATAATTAGACTCCTTTTCGTATTTGAAAGTTAGACGGCCGTACGACACGTGATTCAAGTTCTTCAACCACTCAAAGAACGAAACTGTGACACCACCGGCGTTAATGTACAAATCCGGGATTACAAGAATATTCCTGTCGACCAGAATCTTATCTGCAGCAGGAGTAGTCGGTCCATTAGCAGCCTCTGCAATAATCTTTGCCTTCAAAAATATAATTTAATTATCATCTTTTGATTACCGTCTGAGGTCATTTAAACTTTCAGGTTAATTGTTGTCATCTCATCAAATTAATATAATAAATCATAGATCAATTCAGTTATTTATCAATCATTTTTAAAATAATATATAAAATATATGTGAAATAAAAACACTTCAAAGAAATTAATTAAAAACCAGATAATTTTAATGTTTGGTAATTGAGTAAAGATTAATTCAATATAAATATAATGTTATTCAATATAACATCAATCTGATATACCTATAGATTAACAAATATGAAACGAGTATATTAACATTTATAATATACAGATATAAGTTTTACATAAGTTTTAATCTTTACCTGGATATGTCCCGCATTCTCTTTGGTAATTACTTTCTCTATGGCAGCAGGTATAAATATATCACACGGCTCATACATAAGATTTTCACCTTTATATGGCTCGGCCCCAGGGAAACCAACGATAGTACCAGTTTCTATACGGTACTCTTCCAATTCCTAAAACGTATAGAAATGAGTAAATATTAAACAAAAAAAGTTTTATCATCGATTCTGTCACGTAATCGTAGAAAAATTTAAGTTAGTTATGCTGGAGACAACTGTTATATACCTTTGGATCGATACCTTCTGGATTACAAATAGATCCATCGTGTTCGATCACTCCTATACATGCAGCGCCCGCGCGGTGTAAATAACGCATAGAGTGCAAACCCACGTTACCAAAACCTTGAAGAATAAATGTTTTGCCTCCCCAACCGGGCGTAGTACCTGCGCATTATCATACTCCTTTATTTATGCATTTATTTAAACTTTTTAAAATATTGACGCACCATAATATGATATTAGATCACAGATACATTTAAAAGCTTAGTAAAATAATAGCGCTTTTAATACGACTGAAGAAGATTATAATATTTATATAATTATACAATGTTATATTACATATATTGTAATTTATAAATAACTAATTCAATATAATACAAAAATATATACGAAATGCCATACCACCTAATTGGAACAAAATTTGACCTCTTTTTTGCTACATGAGTGTGAATAGTTATTTTATGTACGTTGTGGCGGCTTTACAAGCCGCACAGGCGCACCTACGGAATGGTAACCCGGCGCACCGGCGCCTACGAGCTAGCCCGGTATATGTATGTACACTAACTTTCTCGCAACTTTCTTGTGAACGCTTACGAGCCGCGAAAGCGTGGTAGCTATTGGAAGTCAGGGAAAATTAGAAAATTTTGTCTGGAAATCAAGTTTTAAAAATGGAGTTGAATTTGCAACCACATCCGTGGTTTTTTGACTCGATCGAACAGAAAAAAATTACAGGGAGCCATATCGGATAAATTCGATGGCTGTTGGATGGTATTCGTTTCGTTCTTGGTCAAAAATTCACGGATGTTGCAAATTCAACTCCATTTTTAAAACTGTAAAAAATCGAAAACCGTGCAGAGGTAGATGTACTCAAGACGGCGTAACTTTTACAAATGTCAAGCTATAGCGATAAAATTTGGTGGAAATGTCAATGATAGATGTGGCAACCTAACCAAAAAAACAGAACTCAAATCAGCTGACTCAGAGCATCACCTGGTGGTAATTCCGGGAACTTTTTGATCAAATGGTGGTAATAATTAAATGACTTTTCATGCATCCTGTATAAATGAAAATTAAAATAAAGTAGCTAATCAACTCATAAACGTACCAATCATGCTCATGTAACTAGCTTCGTTGATGAAATTTTCTAATCCGTGGAACACTCCACGTCCTGTTGCAGAAATGCGACCATGAATACCACCCTGATTGATGGGTTTGCCAGTGACACAAGCGTGAGCGTTGATGTCGAGATGGCCAATAGTTTTCGCATAAGTATCGGCTATCCAAGACATTTCCCGTTCACCGGTGCCCATATCGGGAGCAGGAACATCAACACCAGGTCCTAAAAAGAATAAATCTTTCTAATAGCGAATTCGGCAGACTGCACTAGTGCGCACTGTATCAGTGCGTTAAAATTGTCGTATTTGGCAAATGAAAACTGACCCAGTGTAGTGCTGAATTTATATTCGGACCAACCGAATGAACTGAACGAGTTCAAGAAATGTTGCATTGATATATCTAACGTGCAATTTGGCATAGCAAAGTGATTCTGCACTCGCACTATGTCAGGGGGGCAGCACTAGAACGAAGTTAGTGCCGAATTCGCCATAAAAGGTAAAACTCTTTTGTAAGACGCTTCATTTTAACATGACTTCAGAAATCAAATATAACATACGCTTTTTTAAGCTTGAAAAGTTTTCAAAAACTTTTTTCATGTATTATATGTGAGTTTGTCTCGACAGTGATTATCAAGATATATACACAATTTTTTTTATTTTTATTTTTTTATAATTTTTTATTTTTGTATTAAAAAAATAAAAATTTTTACATATATGTATACATAACTTCTACGGTAACATAAACCGCTTCGCTCTTGTTCGCGCTCACGTCGATGTAACAACCTAATAATAATCCATTATGCATTACACCCTGCTTTCAAAATTATCATTCAAAAGAAATTTTGCCATAATTATGGAAAAAGTAAATAAAAAAATTAATCATAAAATATTTAAAAAATATACAAAAAAATTAAAAAATAAAAAGTAAAAAAATGCAAAAAATAAATTTAAAAACCAAACAAAAAAGTCAAAAAAGAGCTACGAACTTTCTACGTCCATGTTAGCTCTGGGTAGAGCCATAAATATATAAAAGGAGCGCGACCAGTGTTAAAGCTCCTGAGTTGCCGCGGCCATGCTGGAATCGTGACGTCAGAAGCGAGAAATGACACGTTAAATTATGTTACGTGCCATTTGTAAATAAAGACAATTTGGATAAATCTAAATGCTGAGATCGCATTAAAACACTTGTAAAAATCGACGAAAACTGTCTTTTCCTACTTTAACAGTCGATAATAATCGTAAAAGGCACGTAAAGTGAGCCTTTATCCGGACAGAAAATACACGGTCTGACAGCTGTTGAAACGAGTGAAAGATACGCTTTTACATATAAAATTCTAAGATAACTTTAGTTTTCGTCAATTTTTACAACTTTGATAAGTACGAGAAAAATCACATTTTCACAATTAAACACATAATAATGAAATGGCACGTAACATTTCGTCGTCAAAACGTCACTTTTCACGCCTATTGGTTTAGCCTTTTATCGTGACGAGGTGCTGCCGCACGCACCGCACGCACAAGCCCATGTATACATGTACTCGCCCTCGGTGCGCCGCACAGTGAGCTGATTCATGCCAAATACAGACACAGACAATGTTCATTCTTGTTTGTTTTTTTATGATTTTATCGTGTTCAGTACTAATTATACTTTATTTGTATATAGAATTCAAGTGCCAATTTTACGAAATAGGTACGATTTTACAAGAACCCATTTTAAGATTTCCATGTGATTATCACGCTAACTATTGTTACGTGATGTTTTTCACCGTCCGTCATAAGGGTCATTCGACCTGTCCGAAATTGCGCAGCATTTTTGTCCTGTGTCCTCCCGACGTGGAGAGCGGGCGTGCCAGCGCTTATCGCGATTTTTTAACGATTTTTATCGTTGCGTTTCACGGAATATTATTATTTCCCCACCCAGAGAAGGGGTAGCGCGCAGGTGATATCGTTCTGAGTTTTGAATTAACGCCCTGTTTATGACTTGTTTTCCTGTAGCCGAATTCCTTACAAGCCATTGCTACAACGGGAGCGATTAAAATGGTGTGAGGGGACGGATCCACTCTCTGCCATAGTACGAGCGAGAGCCCCGCTGCCGGTGCCGCAAGGGAACCTCTACCGAGAGGAGACATAGAATCCGGAAGCCGAAATCGTCCGAAAAGGGAGTTCATCGAATCCTGACAACACTCCGGCAAGAGCGCCCCAGAGGGGACCGTTGCGTGCAACCGAAAAGGTGCCAGCCATAAGTCAAATCCCGGGCGCGTCAGGATACAGGGCGCGCGATGCTATAGCGACTCGCGCGGGCTCGCGATCAATCAGGGCCCGATAAGGTTTATCACATGGACCTGCGGTCGTCTGCGCGCCCCCGAAAAGACCTCGGGCCCGGTACTTGGGCTGTGGACACATTAGGCAATGCACGCGTGAGAGGACACACGGGACGAGTTGGAGGTTACAAGAGTCGAGCTAGGAAGTGGTGAGACGAACGTAACGTATTGTAAAGCCACCGATTTCCAGATCGGAGGGATCGCAAAACGTATTCGCAAAACTATCGTTGAGTTTCGTCAAGTTTGGTTCTCTCGTGAGTAACTGCTCGCGTTCGCACGCGCGCAACGCGTGATCGTACCATCCCATCCGATATCGTATTAGTTCAATTATAATTTCGAGTCAATTATTTTGCACGCCCACCGCGGCCACAGCCAGCCAGATCATTTTGTATCGTATTGTTGCGTCATAATTTTGTATCGCGTCTTACCGTTAAAATAGTAGATTTTAGATTTCAGATAATATTCTCGTATATCCTAGAATCTCGAAAATTTTCCATCGTCACAGTTCTCGTCACTCTCGCGGTCGAGCTCAAAATCGGATTTGCTGACGAGTTAAGCACGGTCGACTATCACTGTGATCTTTGTCGCGCGATTGATTTCCTTAATTACGATATCAGCTGTTTGTAGAACTACATTAAAATTTGGAGCTGTTACGTACCACATCACTCTCGTCGCGACACGTTTTAATAACTTTCTAACATAAAGTTTTTGTCAAGACGACCCTAACAAACCTTGTTCCAATTATTTCTTTGCTCGTTTCCAATATCCGTTTTGTCCTTTTTTTCTACCCTTTTGCCCCATTCTGAATATTCGACCTACAAATATTTTATAACCAGCCTACGGATTCCTGAGCCACAAAAACTCACGTACCTCAGTTCCCGTTTCTCCTTATTACGCATATTTTGGGTATTGGAACATGTCGTCTCATTGGTTAATCTTCAATAAAACTCCACCCTTTTTATCTAGGTAAAGATCCTTTTAACCTAGATTAAGTCAGTCTACTCCCGTTAGCAGTTCTAATGATTTATTGTCAGTAATATTATAAAAAGACTTAAAGATCGAGATCCTAACGATTGCAATAATATAATGTCATTTATAAAATTAGTTGTTAAAATTTTGACGCTTCATATGTCGGCCAGACGAAGAGGCAACTAAAAACAAGAGTAACAGAGCATAGAAAAAATAGGCCTGTTCTTTTTAGCTGAACTTTTGCACCAGTTCATCTTTCTTCCTTTTCTCTCCAGGAGGAAAGAAGAGGAAGAAAGATGAATTGGTGCAAAAGTTCAATTAAAAAGAACAGGTCTATTATGAATCAGGATATATCAAAGCATTCAGTTATCACTAGTCATATGTTGAAATATAATCATACGTTTGATTGAAACGACGTAAAAATTCTTGATAGGGAAAGTAATTACTATAAAAGATTAATATCCGAGATTATCCACATTAAAGCTTAGAGTAACGGGATTAATTCCAACGAAGACACTGCACTTTTAAATGATTCGTATTTTAACATCCTTGATAGAATCAATAACAACGATTACTGAGTGTTCATTTTCTCTTGTTTATTAGTTTCTGATAGAGTCACAATATATCGGTTAATTTTATATGTCACTTTGTTCACGACTGCTGTTAAGATCAGAAGCACGAATTTTACCATCTTATTGTAAGTTTGTTCTCTTTTTATTTTGTTTTATTGTATCCTTTTGTTTTATTGTATCTCTTAGTTTGCTTATTCTTTAGAATAATGTAACTCATTTCTTAAACTTAAATTAATTTCACAATTCACAACCGAATGTCTCGTCATTCAAGACAGTGGACAAAATCTTAACATAAAGGAATATTTTGAGACTGGTAATATCAAGAGAGTAAGATTTGATTATTAAGATGACTGCGAGGAAATTCTTACATATTAACTAAACGCCTCCATTCGCTTATAATACTATTACGTCAGAGAATGTCTTCATCGAAGTCTCAGCACTTTTGGCTAAAGTCAAAAAAGCTATCCCTTATTGTTTTTTATTCTTTATTTTTAGCTCGAACTCTTACCGATGAATCCCTTCTTTGCTAATTCCAACGTAAATCTTCTAGTAATTTTCTCCAGTTCGTGTTCCGAATAGTTCTTTGGGTTAATCTTAATTCCAGCTTTTGCGCCGCCGAATGGCACGTCGACACACGCACATTTAAATGTCATTAAGGCCGACAGAGCCTTAACTTCATCCCGTGAAACGTCCATCGAGAAACGAATACCTATAAACATAATAAAAATGTAATATTAATTAATTTACCTTTTACAGATATAAATAAAATGTGATCGTAGTTATGTAAAGAGGAATTAGCTGTCAATTTTCAGAGTTTTATATATTTGTTACAAAATGACGAATATGTGTAATGTATTATAAGTATGGAAATCAACTATCTGAGAAAACAGTATTTCATAAATTTATGAAGATTCTTAAGTCGTATAGTTCATCAAATAAATTTTATACCAATTTTTCGTATTTATGTATTACTTTTATAGATTTGAAAAAATCTATCTCCAGAATTAGAGTATAGACAATAAAATAGTCTAGACTATATGATTTCATATGAAAAACGAAAAAAAAATTGGAAAATTATAGTTTTATTACCGATATTTCTGGCATTGACTCGTAACAACACATAGTTCATATAAAAGTTTTACACTTTGTACGCATAAAACAAACTTCATCCACACTTCATAGCGATTATAAAAGAATAATTCTGTGCTTTTAGAAGTGAGTCTTAGAGCCTTAGTATAAAAGAAAAGACTGCGTGAAAATTTCGTGTTATGTGTTAATATATGTACATACATTTATATAGAAGTAGTTATCCCTTAATGTTTTCTAAACCGTATGTATATGTTGTAAATCTCGTATTGTATGTGTGTAATGCTCGTATCAGGCTAGAGGTTGAGATTAAGATTAAGATTGAAATTAACCCATCAGAAGAAAGCAAACCAACATTAAATTTAGTAAATTTTGTGTTGATTAATTAAATCTAATTTCAATCTTTAATCTGATATAGATATAAATCGGTAAAACAGCAATGCTATTGGAGTTCGATTTTTAGGAACGGTATTCACAATCCGTTCTTATTTTAAGACCGTCTTAAGTAATATCTTAAGATGCGAATACGCTTTCTGATTGGTCCATGACATCTTATGACTATACTTAAGGGAATGCTGGACTAAATTGTCGAGACATTGTAGATCGATAAAAATCTCCGAATTTACCGAACGGAATAAAAAACCCTTTTTTTTACAGGATTAAAGTAAACGCAAAATCCCGGGAGGTGCTACAATGGACTTTATACTAAAATCGAAAAAGAAGTTAAAAACTTATATTTTTTTAATTCGTAGAGCTGTCGCCTAACGTAGATGTTTCCTTAATACAAAAGTTTTATAGTTCGTATGAACAAAACGACAGTGCAGCATCCGGCGTATTATGTGCACGAATCATACTCATTGTCAGTTTACAGAACTAAGATTGAAAGCTTAAAAAAAAGATTTATATCGATTTGCAAATTACATGTATTGGGAAATTCGATGGGGGCGGAGCTTTCACATCCCGTCACCTAGCGCCACCGATTAGGGTAACAACAGGTTCTTATACTGTACGATTGCTACACGTAAATATAAGCTGTAGTAAATAAATGAAAATGAAAATATCTATAGGAAAATTTGTGTTTTTGCTAGTTCGACACCTATTAGTAAAAATTTTATTGGTGGTGAAAAATTAATGAATGTTAGTCACGTTGTTTTTTTTGTGGAAAAATGCCAGATGACAATAGCCAGATGACAATTGAGATTACTGCATTTTGTCTCCAAATCTCGGACTTAAAAGATGCTCCACATGAAATAAAAGGAAAAATAAACAAAGAAGGAAAAGTCATTTCAATGGAATGTTCTTGTAAAGCTGGCTTAGGGAGTGCACGTAAACACGTCTCAGCAGTTTTTGTTCTACTGTAAGTAACAGGTGAAATTATTTTTTACACTCATGGACATGTAAAATTATAGTAATCATACAATATGTAATGCTCAGAAAGTAATACCAATATAAAAGTTTTCTAAATAAATCGTATTTATTTATTTCAATACAATAAAATTTATTAATATCAAAATAATATTGTTTATTAATATTATTGTATAGTATTATAGGTATGATTTGGAAGATCTAAATATTGTCTCTTCTACGGATAAGAAATGCATATGGAACGAACCACAGAAATAATCGTTAGAAAAATATGAACCTCAGCCTTTACAACAACACGATTGTGTTTTAATAAAAAGGATGAAGAATCTTGTAAAGTAAAGTAAAGATTGTGAAAAAAGTAAATTGTCGCAAGCTGAAGAATATTTTTGTCTATTAGAGGAATACGAATTAAGTTCATTTTCATTAAGTACTTTTTGAGTTATAAGGCTTGGAAGTTACAATATCTCCGGTATTAGCATTAGTTTTTTACCGGCGGCTAAAAACCTCTTGAATATTGTTCAGGATCATGACCTGGATAACATCTGTCAAGATCAAGGTCATTGGTGATTATATCTCTTATTTTCATTTTTACGTAAAAATGAATTTTTATTGCAAAAAAGAAAATAAGAGGAACAATCTCCAATGGCCTTGATCTTGACAAATGTCATCCAGACTCCCTCCTTTATAAAACAAATTTGTCTATCTAACTTATTCTTTTATCTTTCATTTAATTTATTCTTTTATACTTACCCTAATTTTATAATATCCAATTGATATAGATAAGTTTTTCGCGTGACACACATAATATATTTTTTCACACCTTGTACATTTAGATCCTGTCATCACATTGACAACTATCCTAACCGCTCCACAAGCAGTGACTCGCATTCTGACAATTTTGCCGCGTTCCGAAATTCATTAAAAAAAAAGTGTTGCAACCTTTTAGTCGGTGAGTGTATGTATAAAAAAAAGCTAGGAAGTATACGAACATATGATACATTTTTTTGTTCATTTTATCACGAAATAACAGCGAAGCTATAAAAAAAGTATCTAAAAATAATATCGTTGACGTTTCACAAACATTTTCTACTCGTAGATAATCATATTTTATTTATTCTTCAATTTATGTTCTGTCTCTAAAATTTCACGTGACACGGAACCTGAATGCCTCTTCGATAATTTCCTTAATAACAGCTGATCCCACTTGACACCTGTTTTCGAGTACCTTGTATAACAGCGAACAAATAGATTGCCTTGTGTAATAGTGAATAAATATTCTGATTTCTTTGCCTTGTTACATCATCTGTTACAACAATTTTAATTTTATAATCTTGTTATCTATCGTTATCTAACTCAATTAAAAGTTTTATGGAACGTGATTATAAGTATCTCAGAAGTAAAATAAATTCCATTTTTATTAATATATAAATTTAATTTTATAACTAGTTCATATTACGAGCATATAGTTAATACTAGGTTATAGTGTTAGTATTTTTGTTTTTATTATTTTTTTTAATGTGCATTCTAACTTTATTAAAAATCAGCAAAAAAAGTATCTCTTGCTAAACGACTAAAGCAATAAAATCAGGATTAGAACGATAAATTATTAGCACAAAAAGAGCACTAAATTCTCCGTATGTCTCATATGATTATAGCATTCTAGCTTAATAGACATGTAAAAGTGAATAATTTATAGTTACAGTTTATATCATTAGTAGTTTTACCGAAACATTATCTATTTTCAAAGTAAAATTACCAAATCACACATATAAGAAAAAAATTATCTTTTTCGCAAGAAACTCTTGCAAATTCGTTAGAACTTGAAAATATCGTAGATAATGCTCATAATGCTATTAATGATTCTTTACAGTTCCGTATGTTAGATCTATCTCGGAAAGTTTTATGCCTATCGCTCTTAAACTGAATTGTAAATTAACTTATTCTATTTCGAACACCTTGAAACATATGTAAAAAGAGGAAAAGATTCAACTGAATATATTCTCCCATAAAGACGTAGTTTACAAGATTTCATGCGATGATTGTGATGCTAGCTATCTTGGTCAGACAAAGAGGAAGTTACAAACAAGGAGCATATGTCTGATATAAAAAAAAAACAGGATCTCCATCTGTCATTACTGACCACCGTGTTAATTGTAACAATTTTGATTGGAATGGTGTTAGAATTGGATTACGAACCTTCGTATAATAAACGTTTAATATCCAAAATGATTCATATTAAGAAACAAAGACAGGCCTTGAATAGGCAGAATGATATGGAATCTCTACATGAATTCTACTTACATATATTATACAATCATCTTCCCCTTCTTAATTGCTTATTTTCCCCCTCTTGGTTTAGTTTACCCTTTCCCTAGTAACGAGACTTTTATGTTCTTCGCTCTTTGTTAAAATGTCCTTACAGTTTAGAATAGCTAATTGTATTGAAATGACATCTCTTATCGCAATTTTGCTTCGTATTTTAATAATTTTTTATACTCTGACTGATCTTAATTATTCTAATATTGTTATATGCTACATTATATACTCTTTACTAAGGTAACTTGTATTAACATTGCTTTTTTCCGAATCGCATTAATTTTACACTTTTACATATTATTTAAATTAATTTATAACTTTTTTGTATTACTTAATTTTATTCTTACTGTTTGTATTATTTCTCCGTATACCGACAGATTTTGTATCTCTATTATTTTCCAGTATATTAACAGATTTAATATTTCACCGCTTTTATCTACCACGACATTCTACAAGAATTTTATAAAAACTAACTATAATGGCGACATTTGCGACTAATCATATTCATTGGTCGAGCATTTTGATATTTTTTAACCAAAGGAACCATTTGGACTCAATATCTCCATCTATATCTCTATCTATTTGGTGAAATTTATGTCATCGTTTTATAAGAGGTTTTAGCCGTCAGTCGAACACCTTGCGTAATGCTAATACCAGCTGTACTTTACGACGTCGTCAAGGTCAGTACTGTAACTGTACTGACCTTGACGACGCCACCTAAGGTCAAAGTGATAAAAGCAGTAAATAGATCTTTTTGAACCCTACAACTTTTGTTTGAAACACTTTTCTATAAAACTTTTATTTTCCGAGATATTCAGGTATCTCGACCTTTTTAGGACACCCTGTATACAGGGTGTCTGATTTTAAATAATGCATTATGATAAAAAAATTATTTATCGGTAATACAGACGGCTCCAGCATCCCCTTAATTTGCAATCTGACACTGAAGGATTACTTATCTACCGATATTAAATGATGTAAAATAGACTTTAGGCTTACACACTATGTTGTTATTCTATGTTTGACACACATCCCCTTTTTTTTATTTATATCATAACCGATAGGACACGATGCGTTCGGGGAAACACTATTAGCGCTACTTCTGTCATTCTATCTTCATTGACAAATAGCGCTAATATAACAGCAACTCTCCGAACACACCTAGTGAAAGATAAAATTTTCAGTTATGCTATTGACGCTCTTAGAAAGTCATGTGTCTTCATTATTATATTTATTATAACTATTATATAAGTTTATATTTAAGATGAATTTTAATTGCCATTTGATCCAAAGTTCCACGATAGCTGCTTTATTTATTGGAGCGAGTCACGTAATTAATTACACAATTTTTACTCATCATCATGAGATTTTGATAAGTAATTTTTATATAGATTTATATATATACTACATCAAATCTGTCAATTTGCTATTTGACCTATCCCTAACATATAAAGGAGAAACAAGTGTTTAATTGTTTATTACTGAGGAGGACTACAAAGTTAGTCGAAACATACATTTCAATTTGGATTTGTCATTAATAAATGAGTTGAAGAAAATATTGAATTTTATTTACATATTATTTACACTGCTATCAACGTTGCACTCTTATTCGCCCGACGTAATACCTATCATTGGTTTCAAAATATATTCCTAAAGAAAAAAACATTAAAAGAAGCATTATGTGAAATTAACATTAACAACTTTAGTTCTCAAGAATTCTGAATAGAGTTCCCACTTCCTTTTGACGAGATGAAGAGTTCTAATATAATATATAGTTTATAATAAGAAAGTTCCATTTAATAACCATTTTTTAATCATTTTTTAAAAATGGGATGCTAACTTTTTATCGAAATTTAAGATCAAATAGTCTGAGCGGCTCAATAACTTTATTTTGTGAATATCTAGAGTTCCTGGATGTATAAGAAATATTTCGAAAAATAAAATTAAAAAATTTTTTTTAAATTAATTTTTAGATACACAATAGTTCTGATTAGAGTTCCTGTTTCCTTTTAACGAGACAAAGTGTTCTTTATAGCTTCTAATGAGAATTTTGCTTAACAATTTTGAAATAATTTTCAAAGAATGAGATTTTAATTTTTTATCAAAATTCAGGATCGAATAGTTCTAACAAGGGAAGTTTCACAACTGTCCGGAACTGATTTGATTCTCCATGAAATATGTTGTTAAACACGAAAATCTAAGAGACACGTATTTTTTTATACGTGCGCTAACTCATGTTTAAGGGGTGAAACACCCTTTCGGAAAAAAAAAAAAAAAAACAGTATTTCTATTTCGAGCCGAATACCATCAGAAGTATAAAATGGAAAAAAATTTTTTAAACAAAAGTTGTACGGTTTCAAGAGTTGCACACAGTTGTTTTTGTGTGCAAAACTTTTGTCTATAATCTGTATTGAAAATTTTCTAAATCCGATGTCGAAAATTTTTTTAGAGTACTTAGATAGTTCTAATTGGAGTTCTGAACAGTTTTCGATGAGTTACAGAGACTACATAAGGAAATATGTATTTTTGTAACCGATTTTTGAAATTTCGTTTGTACATATCTCTTATATTTTTGGGTCTGTGTTGTTTTTAATCGCTGAGAACTCTTTGAAGTAGATAAAGTGACAATTAATATGTCACAGAACTATTGTATAAAAAAAAATTTTTTTCTAAAATTTCTCATTTTTGTTTATGATCTTAAAAGCTTTTCTAGAGGCTATTTGACGTTTATGTAACATTTACGTGCATCCAAGTAATACAATTTTCCATCTTTGCTTATTATGAAAATAATACATTTTAATTATTATACATCTTTTTAGATAAATTTTAAGAAATATACAATATAATATCAATTTTATTCGTTATTAATACTTATTTTCTAAAAACGAAGCTTTTTAAAAGATATTTTCCATGTAGAAATACTTTTTACACTTACTGTGTACCTATTATATTTTATAAATATGTGATAAGTATATGTACGTACATACATTTCAGCTACCAAAGAACAAAACCAATAAGGAATATAAAATCATGTCGTACCTCCTTTGCAGGGCGTTCGATGGGTGGAGTGTTGAGCGCGATAGCCGGTAATCATTTCATAGTCGCCCGAGTCGCGCCTAAGCGGGAACGTGGTCTCAAGAATGTGATCGCAGGGTTCCATTAACATTAGAATCCCCTTAACCTTTTTTTTACGCTCCTCGATCGGGACACGTGATCGCTTGCCAATGTCCTCAACCAGCTTGTCTTCAATGATTTGGCAAGCGCGATGAAAGAAGTATTCTACCATATCGAAGAATCTGGGATTCGGCGCCTCGGGCACGTCTTTAAGGCGGTCCGGTATCTGATGATCAGCATAATCACGGTAAACCGCCACTTGCCAGGCGGCCGGCGCGACGCGCATCAGGATGTTCTGTACATCGTTACTCGATGCTTGCTTCAAGGCGATCGATGACCGTGTGAGATTTCGCAGATGAAACATTTTCGCTCGAGATGATGATAGATTATGTGACGCTATACGATAACGAGCGATAACAATGGGTTACCCAACGTCACCCAGCGTCGAAATCAAATCAAGAATGATTTTCACAGAACGCAGCTCACAACTCGTCGTCTGCAGTCTGCCGACTGCCGTAGTGCAGAGTGCAGACTGGTTATGCGTGGTCTACAATGGGCAGTAGCAGTAGTGG